AGTAGGATTTTTGGGTCATGTTGTGACAGCTAGAGGGATTGAAGTTGATCTGTCTAAAGTTGAAGCGGTGACTAATTGGTCAAGTCCTTCAAATATGTGTGAAGTGAGAAGCTTTTTGGGCTTAGCCGGATATTATCGGCGATTCATAGAAGGATTTTCTAAGGTAGCTGGTCCTATGACGCAGTTGACTAGGAAAGGTGTTAAGTTTGTTCAGTCTGATAAGTGTGAACAGAGTTTTCAGGAGTTAAAGAATAGACTGGTCTCGGTACCAGTATTAGCTATACCCGATAGTTCAGAGGGTTTTGTGATTTACAGTGACGCATCTAAGCTCAATTTGGGTTGTGTCTTAATGCAACATGGGAAAGTAATATCATATGCTTCAAGACAGTTGAAACAGTATGAGCAAAATTATCCAACGCATGATCTATAACTTGCGGCAGTGGTTCACGCGTTGAAGATTTGGTGTCACTACCTCTATGAACAAAATGTGTATGTCACCTAACAAACTATTATTGCTCCCCTTGCCAATTATCGAAAATGGACAAAAATATTTAGTAAATTTACTAAAGTAAAAATCAAAAAGCTGGAAGAAATGGAAAAATGGTGGTTCAATTGTCAAAAGTAGCTGCAATTGCTGGTTGCAATAATCAAAAGTTGGTTGCAATTATCAAAAGTAGCTACAATTGTTTTTCAAAAGTTGTTCAAATGACGGACAAAAATTATCTCCGGGATTCTTCAATCTAATTTAGATTTTTTAAGTCCGAAGTTTTTAGCTATAAAAGAAGGCGGAAGACTTCCTTAAGTGTAATAGAGCGGGAATACTACACTTCAAGAAAGTTTTTCAATTATCCTTATAATTTTTAAGCTTTCTTTAAAAAAAATTTCAATTGTAATTTCAAAGTTTTATATCAACAAATTCATTATTTCCATCAACCTCTACTTCTCTTGTCTTTCCCTCTTGGATATACATGTATGTATACTTGTACATGTACACATACATGTAGGTGTATGTACGTGTATACATGTACTTATATACATTGATGTACATACATGTACATATATACATGTGTGTGTGTGTGTAAAACGCAAAATATATTAAATCACTCCCAACCTCACATGCTCCTCTGCCTTCTTTCCCACCCATACAACTTGTTCCCTTAACCCTTGTTGCATGAGATAGAATTATTTTATTGGTGATTTTAACCAACCTATATCTAGACCATTTCCAATATACCTTTGTTAGTTTTGCTTTTATTGGTTAACCCATGTATTCGTCTATTCATTGAAACAGTTTACTAAATCTTCAATTACATAGCTAAGATACATTGTATTTTCCTAAATTCATTCATTTAGCACGCATTGTGTTTACTATGTACATTAATGTACTGAAGGAGTCACGTGTCAAAGGAAGAAGAGCATACATGAACTTGGTTAAATAAGGTTTATGAAGATGGTTTCTATATCCGCAGTAAATTTCCACATTTCAAAAGAAATGAGCCTTGCTACTGAAATGGAAGAGAAATGTTTTAAGAAAAATAAGGTTGATTCAATTATGTGACAGAATTTCCCACCTTCGAACAATCATTCAATCAATTTTGGAAGGTTGTTGTTTGGTGTACTGAGTACTGACAATAATCGATTTCGGAAGGGCAAATTCAGCAACTTGCCAATCTCAAGCGAAGAATCTTCAGATGATTCTTCACAAGGATCCCAATCCCAAAACGTTCCCCTTCCATTCAAAAACCATGGCTCATTGCATTTGGAACATGGTAATTACAACCAATCCCAAAACATTCCCTTCCATTCAAAAACCATGGCGCGTAGCATTAGGAACATGGTAATTACAGTGACTATAAGAACCTTCTAAATATACCTTATTCAACCACAATCATATAGGTCTTTGTCCTTTGACACGTGACTCCTTAAGTATATAAATGTATATAGTAAATATAGTGCGTGATAAATGAATGAATCTAGGTAAATACATTTTTTTAATCTATGGAAATGACCTTCTAGTAAACCGGTTTAATGAATGTATGAATATATGCATCACCCAATCACATCAAAACTAAAGAGGTACTATTGAAATAGTCTAAAATCTAAATATAGCTTAGGATGTCCATAAAATGATAGACAACATTTATCATAATTTACAATAAAGGGGCTTGAATTCACTTGGCCATGCCCGTTGAGTAGTTTTCGAAAATCTAAAAGGAAAATAGTACTTTCTACGGACTTACTACTAGTTTCCTGCACCATAGAAGTAAAAGAAATCTTTGTGGTTAAAAATCAAACCTTCAGTGCCCACATCATCAAAAATTGTATACATAGCTAACTATCAAAAATAAAATCGAAGTGTCCCATTACAGAAGCATCAACAACAATAAGGATAAGGGATTCAGAATCAAGAGAGAACCCAAAAACTCAAACAAGACACCATAGTTCTATGAAGATGCAGATAATAAACTCACCATGTCTAAATAACTGGAGCTGAGGCAATGAATTTGTATCGTATTGGATGCGATTTTCCTCAACAAAAACCGCAAACATGGCATTTCCATTACCTTCTCCTCCAGACATTTTCCTGAAAATAACACAAGAAATATTGATCCAAGCACCTATGGTGCATGTTTGGTTCAGCGAGACATGACAAGACAGTTTAACAAAGAATATTCAAGCTTGTTTATATGTGAGATCCATGATCCATCCTATGAAGCAGGCCATTAATTTAAATTCCAGCCATGATAGCCCAAAAGATGAATCATTTAGCAGCCAAAAACTTATAGAACTATGGAAATGATCTTAACACCATAAAACGAGTAATCTTGATTTAACTGATTGAATTATAATCAAAATTCATCGAAATAAAGTACAAAAGCACTAAAACGACTATATGAGCTAGATTTTAGCAGGCAAAACTCACGGACCTAAAAGGAACAATCTTCAATGACACCACAAAACATGTAATTTTGCTTCAACATATGCAGACCACAAGCTGTAGAAAGAAATGCAGTAATACGGACTAGATCCAAATCAAACGGCCCACCAATTCAAGAAACATTTAACTCACTTCAATTTTTTGACCTTTGATACATAAATAGCTATTTCAACATCCAAATAGCAAAGTATGCCAGGAAGGAAAAAAAAAACCCAATTTTCCAATAAATCAACTCCAACCAACCACAAATCAACTGACAGGAAAGAAAAATTCAACAATCATACTAATCAAATGAGCCAAAAACCTCACCAGTATCAGCTCAGATTTAGATAACCAATCGATAATAGCTATTTCAACAATCTCAATAGCAAAGTATCCCAGAAAAGAAAAGAAAAAAAAATCAATTTTCCTATAAATTAACTGAAAGAAAAGAATACCCAACAATCTTACAAATCATATGAGTTAAAAACACTCACCAAATGAGTCCAGATTTAGATAACCAATAAATTCAAAAGCAGGGTTCTTTTCCTCTTTTTTTCTTGTTTGTTGAAAAATGGGGAAAGGGATGGCAATAATAACGATGGAGAGAGAAGAAGTAAATGAGAATAATGAAATTGGAAGGTGGTGGAGGAGTAGTAGTTGATGTTTCGGTTAAGAAAAACGATTCCATTCGTTGGTATTGGTGTTGGCAGTGTGAGGAAGCGAAGAAGAGTGAGAAGAGGACTTGTAATTGGAGAAATATTCTTCATTTTTTTATGCTTAAAGTTCTCGCTTTCCACCCTACTTCTGGCTGTATTGCAGCTTGCTTTTCGTTATCTTCACCAGCGAATTTTGTTTGTTTTCTTGTTTTGCTTGGATTACTGGTTTTTGTTGGTTTCACCACAAAATGGACCTTTAATTAATGAAGAAAAATATCGCATGGTTGGTGTCTCATAAATGATCCCATCTGCAAACAAATTATGGGTAATTATATTGCAAACATTATAATTGCATCAAACATTTTGGAGGGTGAATTCAATTGGAATTTTTTTAAACTTCTGAGAATTTAAAAAATCTAGATGTATTTAATTGAGACTTTCAAAAATTCTCTAAGACTATGTTTGATGAGCTCCATTTTCCAAGGAAAATGGAATATATTTTTCATTTCCACACAAAAATAGTTGTTTGATTGTCATAATTTAACTTGGAATCCATTTTCTCAGCCGTCATTCACGCGTCTCATTTTCCTTCCAATTGGTGAATTTGTTTTCCCATGGTTATGTGGTTTTTTGTTTTTCTGCTTCTTTTTTTTTCTCTTTTTTTTTTTATTTTTTAAATTTTTTTTTTGGCAATAAAAAAAAATTATCCATTTTATTGACAATTTTCATGCAAAACAAAGCCAAACGAATGATATTCGGGATGACAATTTTTTTATTTTTTTTTAACTTTTTGGCAATTATAACAAATTTTAGACCCAAGGGTAGAAAAATTATCACTTTAATAGACAATTTTCATGAAAAACTAAGTCAAACGGACACCAAACTTTCAACATTTTTCAAGTGGAAAATTATAACAATCAAACACAATTAATTACAATTCCCAATAAAACAATTTCTAAGCAAATCAATTCTCTATAAAACATTTTATTTCCACTCATTTTCCACTTTCGCAATTAAACGGGCCTTAAAAGTTTATATGCATTCAATAGAAATTTTTATAAACTTTATTCAACAATCTCAATAGCAAAGTATTCCAGAAAAGAAAAGAAAAGAAAAAAAAAATCAATTTTCCTATAAATTAACTGAAAGAAAAGAATACCCAACAATCTTACAAATCATATGAGTTAAAAACACCCACCAAATGAGTCCAGATTTAGATAACCAATAACTTCAAAAGCAGGTTTATTCTTCAAAAGGATCTTCTTTTCCTTTTTTTTTTTTTCTTGTTTGTTGAAAAATGGGGAAAGGGATGGCAATAATAACGATAGAGAGAGAAGAAGTAAATGAGAATAATGAAATTGGAAGGTGGTGGAGGAGTAGTAGTTGATGTTTCGGTTAAGAAAAACGATTCCATTCGTTGGTATTGGTGTTGGTAGTGTGAGGAAGCGAAGAACAGTGAGAAGAAGACTCGTAATTGGAGAAATATTCTTCATTTTTTAATGGCTAAAGTTCTCGCTTTCCACCCTACTTCTGGCTGTATTGCAGCTTGCTTTTCGTTATCTTCACCAGCGAATTTTGTTTGTTTTCTTGTTTTGCTTGGATTACTGGTTTTTGTTGGTTTCACCACAAAATGGAACTTTAATTTAATGAAGAAAAATATCGCATGGTTGGTATCTCATAAATGATCCCATCTGAAAACAAATTATGGGTAATTATATTGCAAACATTATAATTGCATCAAATATTTAGGGAGTAAATTGTTTTTCACTCACTGAACTTTAATATGATCACGATTTGCTCACTGAACTTCAAATTGCCTCTAAATGTTCACTGAACTTTCATTAATTGCACCACATCCAACACTCAGAGGGCAATGGGGTGGGCAATTGGAATCGAGTTCAGTGATCATTTAGAGACAATTTGAAATTCAATGAGAAACATGGTCACGACTTACTCACTGAACTTCAAATTGTCTCTAAATGGTCATTGAACTCGATTTCAATTGCCCACCCCACTGCCCTCTGAGTGTTGGATGTGGTGAAATTAATGAAAGTTCAGTGACCATTTAGAATCAATTTGAAATTCAGTGAGTAAGTCGTGACCATGTTAAAGTTCAGTGACTGTTCAAACAACGTACTCAAACATTTAGGAGGCTGAATTCAATTGGAATTTTTTAAAACTTCTGAGAATTTAAAAAATCTATATGTATTCAATTGAGACTTTTAAAAATTCTGTAAGGCTATGTTTGAACTTGGAATATATTTCCATTTCCACACAAAAATAGTTGTTTGATTGTCATAATTTAACTTGGAATCAATTTTCTCAGTCGCCATTCACGCGTCTCATTTTCCCTCAAATTGGTGAATTTGTTTTTCCATGGTTATGTGGTTTTTTGTTTTTCAGCTTCCTTTTTCTTTCTTTTTTTTTTTTTAATTTTTCAAAAATTTTTTTGGCAATAAAAATAATTATCCATTTTATTGACAATTTTCATGCAAAACAAAGCCAAACGAATGATATTCGGGATGACAATTTTTTTATTTTTTTTTCTTTTTGGCAATTGTAACAAATTTTAGACCCAATGATAGAAAAAATTATCACTTTAATAGACAATTTTCATGAAAAACTAAATCAAACGGATACCAAACTTTCAACATTTTTCAAGTGGAAAATTATAACAATCAAACACAATTAATTACAATTCCCAATAAAACAATTTCTAAACAAATCAATTCAATTTAAAACATTTTCTTTCTATCCATTTTCCACTTTCGCAATCAAATGAATCTTAAAAGTTTATATGCATTCAATAGAAATTTTTATAAACTTTCAGAAAGTCTCCAAATTTAAGTCTCGGTGTATTCAATTAAATTTTTTTAGAAATTTCTACAAGTGATGTGATATTTAATTGATAATGAATTTTAAGTAATTTTATATTGGGAAAAATTCATATAACAAATTTACCCTACATAATAAGAAAACTACTTTAAAATTTCTAAAATCAAATATTTGATATATATATATATATATAACCCACCCCACATCCACCACCCCTACCGCTCCAACGATTGTTTCGGGGACTATTTCGGTGACCATTCCGACGATTTCTCCGATTCCGGCGACCATTCCGAAGACCGTTCCAACGACTGATCCGATTTCTATGACTATTCTGGTGACCGTCACATATTTATATAATATGGTCACAGATTATTTTTGAGGTCACAAATTAAAAATTTTATACGTCACGGATTATTTCGAGATCACAATTCAAAAAATTTATAGGTCACAATTTGTTTGTCGGTCACAAATCAAAAACTTTGCAGGTCACGGATCATTTCGAGGTCACAAATTAATAATTTTATAGGTCACATATTATTTTATTGGTCACGGATAAAAAAAAATTACATATCACAGTTTTCTATCAATCACATATTTTCAAATTTATTGATCACAGATTAATTTTTAGTCACAAATTGTCGAATTTTAAGGTCACGAATAGCCCATTATACGGTCACATTTGGTCACGAATCACACCGATTCAAAAACTGACGCCGGCGCCACACCACCACAACCACCAGACCATTGCCTGCACCGCACCACCACCAAACCATTGCCTATACCACACAATACAAATCAAAAACCAAAAAACTCCCAAAATTCAACCACCGGATTGGCACCCATGGCATTCCCACACACAAACCACGCCCCACAAGAACCACCACCGCCCCCCCGCACAGAATATAGATTCTGGCATATCGACGTTATAGATTTGACCACTGCACCACCACTAGATTCGATTAC